GCTCTGACTTCATGGGGAATTTTCCAAAAGTTTTTCCTCTTATTAAAAACAAAAACTGCCTTTTGATTGGATCCAGTGCAGCTTAGCCTGCTGCTGTTTGAAACTAGGTTTAAAATGAAGAAACATTCATTTTAAAAACATGTAACAAAAACTCTTTGAAGCAAAAGAAGCCACCAGATTTGGTGAGAAAAATTCAAATAAAACATATAAAAACGTACTGTCCTCAAAGCTGCGAAGTTTCTTCTCCAGCTCGACCCCCTCTCTCTCCAGCTGACCAAGGTTCATCTCAATATCGTCCAACTCCTTCTCGATCTGCTCCACTGGGACATAAGACTTTATCTGATGTGTTTAAAAAAAACAACTTAAAATCAAAACAAGATTTTCATTTGAAAATTACGACTGTAGAGATTTTAACGTAAAGACAGTCATCCATTTTTCCCTGGGAAAGTCATGAAAGCACACTCAAAGAACTGTTAATTAATCTCTTAAGAGACTTAATAGAGGGAACTTACAGAGGGTGACCTCATTTCGGTCCTGAAGGCGTTGGTGGGTGACAAATACTTTCCCTTTTTAGCAGCTGAGAGGTAGATAAAACAGGATTAGATAGTTCTTTAAATGGCAGCTATTCAGAAAAGTGTTCGATTTGACTTTCCTTAATATCTCGAAATAGATATTTAAAGAAAACACATGGTTGAGATCGTGTATGTGAAGGTTGGTCTGTTTTAAAATGAGTAGAAACTCACCTGTTGGATTTCCAGGATTGTCTAAACCAGTGGTTGAGCTGGTAGATTTTAGGGTTGGTGGTCTGAGTGGAGATTTCACAGGTGAAGAACTTCCAGGTTTAAAGCCTAAAAGGAGGAAAAGAAAGCTGTAAAGATTTGTAGGCAGGCAGTTCAGAACCTGTGGCTGCGTTCACGTCTATATTCTCTAAAACCACCATCTGGTTCACAAGGAGGTTTTAAGTTGGATTTTTTTTTTCAAATTCAAAAAATTTTATTCATTTCATTTTTAAATAAAACAAAGAAATACATTACAAATAATACACAACTTATATC